AAAAAACCGAGTTCTCCACAATTGCGCGGGTTGACCTCCATAGACCAACAATGCGAGTCATACAATTTCCATATAAGAAAAATCAGTAATCGTAGACGTTTCATCGATGCAGTTTTCTATGCTTATGGAATTGCATGAATAGAGTATGAGTAGCATTTGTCTAAAAATGAAAAATGTATGATTCGCATTTTTGGTCGACCCGCGTGGATCATATGGAGACGATGAAGATGCTTCAAACGTTTATGTACGTCTTTTGACCTAATTTTCAAAACTAAAGCCAAAACGTCAACACGTTGCGCAGAATCGGAATACTTTATCTGCCATTTACACAAATAACGCAAATAAATAGGCATCAATTCCCGATAAAAATTTTTGCTAACGGTACAGAAGCCGAGACCAATTAGGCCAATTTAGTAGCAAAAAAACAGCAATCTAGACTTTGAGAAAACCATTTTCAGCAATAATATATGGCATTTCATCAAAGTTCGGCAGCTAAAAGCTTTGAACACAGTACAAGGATCTGCCTTCAAGCCATTTTTGATATCAGCCATTTCTGATAAAACAAATCAACAATTTGTTGCAGTTTGTTGACAATATAACTAGCAGCTTCCTGTTATATATGTAGAGCTGATCAACAAAGGGAATCTTTCGAACTTTTTTTTGAGAGTGTCCACCAAACTTATCAAAAACCATGAAAACCTAACAACTATTCTCCCCAACCTGCTCGAGCTAGCCTAAAATAGTACCAGCTAAAGAATTTAAGTTCTCTTATATAAAAATAAATTCTCAGTAAGCATCAGAATAAACTCAGCATATGCTGTCTAAGTGATCAACATTCACAAAGCGTCTGCATGTAACAGCTGGGATGTTCGTTCTCTTTTACCAAACTTTCAAATGAAAATTTGTAATTTTAACGGAATTTCCGCAGTAACATGGTTATGCCAGCAATTTAGTTTAGGATAACGCAAAATGTTGCTATGTTTCGAATATTTAAGCTTGCATTCACAACCATTCCTAGCTCATTTTTACGCTTGCGATTAGCAAGCGCTATCAAATTGGAAGGAAGACTTTTTCCAGTTAACAACTAGCTTAACAAAATCATTTGAATCCTTTTTCAATTTCAGCTGACATGCTCAAACTCATAAAAGTTCAAATTTGAGTGCTGTGTGCGTACTAGTTTCTACAGAGTAGTTTCAGGGGGCTTGAAATTTTTTAAAGTGTTTTACAAAATCTTTTTTTTTTCGGCACAACTAGTGTCTGCTCAAAGATTGTCGGCCTTGCTTCCCCTTTGTAAGTTTTGTTCAGTTGCTTATATGAATTTGAAAAGTTATGCTTGGCATATTTGCCTAGAACTCGAGTATGATGAAACTAGGCTTAAAGAAAATGTATGAGATTGAGTTTTAGAAAATGTTATTTTTTTTTGCAGAAACCGTCTAAAAATTTTCAAAAAAGGAGGGTAATCATAAGAAGACCGCTTACAACCTTGTGCGCCTGCATACCCTCCCTTCTTTTTTGCTTTACCCTTTTGTCCACAGCCTTCGAAACAGTCTGTGGGGGGAATAGTTGACCGATATTTTGTATATATCTTTTTTTTCCGTTTTCTGAAAAACAAACCTACTAAATCCAAGATTTTTCTGGTGGATTTGAAAAGCTCTCCTCCAAAAGCCACTGTGCTCAATCTTTTTACTCATAAAATTATGGCACTAGGAAATTGTGAAATTTTTGATTTTTTTTACCGTTTTTCGAATCCATTTTCTATTTACCGTTTTCTAGAAAATTAACCTCCCAAATCTGAGGTTGTGGGTTCAATGGAGATAACAGAAAGTGAGATGCTCCCTTAAAGTAGCGGCCACTTACTACCTTTCTTTCACAAAAATTTTTAGTCCCTGAAAAAAATCCATTTTTGTTTTTTCGATTGCTTTTTTTTGAATTTTACCAAAATTTACCTTCCCACATCTGGGATTTCGAGTTTAACCTAAAAAAATGGTTATGGAAAACCCTTTGCATACCCGAATATGCCCAATTTTTCTGACACAAAAAATTATGGCCCTTGATTTTCGATCGTTTTTTCAAAATGTTTGAGTTTTCTCGAGAACTGGCAAACCTGGGTTTCTGGGTTCAATCGAAGTTATAGGTTGGGTGAATTTCTTCTGCATAAACTGCCGAGACAAAGGTTTTTAAACAAATAGCTATGATTCTCTGAAATATCAGCTATCTGACTTGTTGACTGTTTTTTGGACTTTTCTCGAAAATTATCCTGCCAAATCCGATATCATAGGTTTAGCAGAAGAAAAAATATGGATTTTGGATTGTCAAGTTTTTGAAGTTTGAACTTTGACCGATTTTTAGAAACTTTGTTGAAATCTGAGATGAAAAAATGAATAGAAAAAAGCTGCGTTTGCGCGATTTTTCCGGCAGAAAGATTTTTCCGGCTATTCCTTAATATTTTTGTTAGAGAAACGTTAGATCTTTGGGAGAACGTTGGATTGTCAAGTCATTGAATTTTGAACTTTGACCGTTTTTTAGAAACCTTTTTGAATATTCTTACAAATTACCTTATCAAATCTGAGATAAAAAATTGAATAGAAAAAAATATTGGTTGCGCGATTTTTCCGGCAGAAAGATTTTTCCGGCTATTCGTTAATTTTTTGTTAGAGAAATGCTGAATCTTTAGGAAATGGCGCGATTTTTCCGTTGGGAAAATTCTAAATCTTAAAAGACTTGTTCTACTTACTTATTGAAAATCAACTTAAGTTTTTTGTTCGAAATCCAAATTGTGAAATCACGCATTTTGTCCTGTAGCAGTATAGCAAATTCAAAAGTATTGAACACGTACTTTTAAGTCTTGTTGCGATCTACGAGTCCGTCATCAAGACATACATTTTTCATTTTTTACTTGTGTTTTTCATGATTGTGTTGTATCGCAAGTGGTGGGAAGCTCCGTTTCACCTCTGTGTTTATATTAGTTTCTCAAAAATGCTCTTAAAAAGAATTGGTAAAGAAAATGGACCAGCTTTTCGCTTTCTCTGGAAGCATCCTAACAAAATTTTTTTATGAGTACACTTAAGTTTTACTTGGTGTAATATCTTTTTTACTATGCGCTTAAAGACCGAAACAAATTTCAAAGATGCACTGCGGAGAGATAGATAAGCACCGAAAACAACAAGACTGCTCGTAAGTCAGGGCAAAGCCCTGAATGTTCCGACTGCACTTTAGGCCAATTGAATTTTTTTGTTGTTGAATAATTGACAAAATTATTGAGAAAAAAGACCTCAATTCAGTTTGGATTGTATTAATTCGATTCTTACGCGTGATATAGGCACGCAATATCCCAAATTGGCCAAATTATCAATTTTCAAACTCCGGTAACCTTACAAAAAATGATCACAGGTGAAACTTATATTTTTTTAAGTTTGAGCTTAGAATGACAATATCTTTTAAATGGTACAACAAATCCGTTAAAAACGCTTTGTTAACAAATCGAAAAATGACTTTATAAAAAAAATACCACACCAAGCAAAAATATTCCGCATTTTCTTCGAAAGTCGGAACAACAACTTCAAACAGTGGCGCTTCTTAAAGAGAACGTACTGTTGATTTGTTTTCGATTGAATTGTAATTAAAACAAAATGTTCATAAAATCACAATGGGAACAAAAATGGCAATTGGTCAGAAACAATTTGCTTATCGATCTTCTACAAAATTTTTCTTCGAAAACTAAAGTTTTTCAAAACCAAGCCAATTGGTCAGCTTGGTGACATCTTTGTTTAAAGCAAAACGACTGTAAGTGTCGTTAAATTATTTAAAATTAGAAATAATTTTAAAACAAATCGAGTAGCACAAATTGAATGAGTTGACATAATACCCAATGATCAACAATGTCAGCTATTTTTCTAAAATTTTTCAAAATTTTTTTAAAATATTTTTTTAAATTTTACTGAGCGAATAGAAAACGATTTTGAATATGAAATACAAAGTAAAAAAAACATGAGCTTTTTAAAGCACTCTTTGATTGCTTGAAATCGATTACAGTGTAATCAAAGTAATCAACAATGTTCTGACTTGCAAACAACGACTAACTAGTTTTGCTCCGAGTGGTTTTTCTCCAGACAAACTCAAAATAGTAGCTAAAGGATTTAACAGAGTTTTATGCTGTTTAAATGGTTCACTAAGCTGAGCTCAAATTTATATTTATCCTTTGCTTGTGACATTTTTTGTTGAAAAAATTTGGTGTTTTACAATTGCGTTTTTGATCATTTTCATAGCGAATCCAAAGCTTTGTCTTAGAATCCGGAGGCAAGTCTTTATGCATGTCAAAATAAGTAGATGGAAATCACTAACTAATGTTTTTGACATCCGCAGCAAATTTTTTTTTGACACAAACTTTTTTGTCTCGTTTTGTAAGTGAATTCCGCAAACTCCGAAGTATAAAACGGAGTCTGCTTACAAAATGTGGGTTCCGCTCACAGCAATCGCTCATTGAACAATCACCCGCGACTTCAAACATCAAGAATTGCTGTGATATGAAATTGGTAGGGATATTTGAAGTGATTTATTTTTTGTTTCAAACTTGACAAAAAAGAATAGGCAAATAGCCGGAGTAAAGAGCTCAGAAAGTTCCGAATACATTGAAGTAGGTTGAGAAAACTCGGTAAAAACTTTTTCCGTTAAAGAGCAATTGAATTAGGTAAAAAAAACTTAAAATAGCTAAAAGAAACTTTAAACTGTAGTAACACTAAATTCGGAGTTTGAGCTCTCATCATATCAGCCTGAAAAACGGAAAGTTCAGCTCAAGTTTTTGCGACACTGAGTTATTTTTTGACTTGTTGGGAATACGAATCAAACGAATATTGATTCAAAAACATGACCAGCATTAAGTTTTTCGAGCAGTACTGAATTTCGGAAGGGCAAAACACCCTTCGGGATAGGTCTATTGTAGCATTCTATTATTCATGAAGCAGATTAACAAAATTTATCAAAAAGTAGGGCAAGATGTTTACCTGTATTGCTAAATTGGTAAAAATGAACTTTTTTGCTGTTTAAAGCCAATGAAAAAAAATGTGAATGGTTGAAATTTAGAAACCAAGCAACCTAGGCAAAATTTGAAAGTATTATTATATGAGAGAGACGAATTGATGACAAAAATCCATTAGAATACGATATCAATTTTCAAAAGCAATTAGTTAATAGGCTGGATTTTGGACAGTTAATTGATATAAAGTGTCCCATTGAACTTATCAGCAAATTGAATCAGCTTGAGGTTTCGTTAAAAAAATTCTTTTCTTCGACAAAATACTGATGGACTGGTACAAAGGAAATTCCTAACTGTTTCGAAAACGACTAAGATTCAAATAAAACTTTGTCTCGTTAGGCAAGAACGATTTGTAAGCTGTTTGTGATTTCTTCATTCACAATCACAATATAGGCTGACGCTTTTTTTAAACCACGTCTTTGACTAATAAGTCCTTTCATTTCTATTGAAAAAGCCATTTAGTTTTTAGCCAATTATAGTTTTTTAATTTATTTATTTATTTATTTATTTATTTATTTATTTATTCACCAAAAGTAATCAATTGCTTACAGTTTGCAGTTTAGCTCAAAATATGACAGCCAGAATACCAACGAGGAGCTTGATGAAGGCTGCCCCATAAAATAAAAAATTCATTGACGTCAATTCAAATCAAAAACTTAAATGAAATAAAGATCAAACTAGAAGCTTTTTGCGAGATAATTAACCCATTTTGTACTGATGCATTTACGTTTGACCTCTTTCAAAAACGTTTCTTAAATTGAAAGTTTTTGAACCGTTCAAAAATTTTTAATGGACGACGGTTAGCACATCAAATCAAATTAACTGCTAATCAGTTCTGAAAGATTTTTGAAAACACTTTTTTAGGTTATATACTAATGTTAATGCTGTCCATTAGCTAACAATTAGCTTCAAATTAAAACTGAAACAACCCGGGTCGAGGTAAACATTAAAGCATAAAGTGAGCACCTCGACACAGGAAGCAGGGAGTTATCGAAGGGGAGGTTTGAGACTGGGCGTTCCCTCTCTTCTTTGGGATTTTGACCAATCAGCCCCCAAAGGCTCCTCTTTATCCGGATCCAGGTGGTCGAGTTTTGTGGTCGATTTTCCACTTTCTCGACCAAGTTCAGATATATTTCAAATGTCTCATCCACTACTGGTAATATTTCGACTTTCTCGACTTCCTCGACTTTGTTGACCAAAATTTTGTACCTTAGGTGTCAATACATGCTAAATTTGATGAGGTACAAAAAAGAAAACACGAATTTTTGGTTCAAAACTTTCAAAAAGCGCCCAAAGCCGGCATCTTTGCATATTTTGCCTACAAAAATAGAGAAAAGGAAAATCACTTGAGGTTTAAAAAGAGAAAAACTACCATGTTTCGGCTCGACCCATAATAAACTCGTATTTATGTGTTGTATCAACCCAATTTGACAAAAAAAAAGTTTTTTTTGGACTTTTTTTACCGGACATTATAAGCGCTGCAGATGGTAAAAAAATTAATGATTCAGATAAATTGATCTTTTTAATAACCTTGCCACGGGAGTTTTCCAAACTTTACTCTGCTCAATTTGTTCAAACAACAAGACTGTTTTTATCCGGCCGGTAGTGTGGATACTCTGAAGGCCTCCTAAATTTACTGGTGGTGTAATTTTATTACGCTAGCAATACTTATGTACACCCTACAAAGCGCTTGCTCTTAACATAGGGTCCTTTCCACTTTCTATCTTAGAAAGTAAATCTAAAATTCGCTGGGAAATAATTTATTAGAAAAGAAGTTTGTATGAATTTACTGCAAGTTGCCTTTTGACTCGATATTTGTTTTAAGGGTCAGATTTGAGATATTTTGAGTGAGAATGGATAGTATTTTATAGAGAAGGGTTGAGGTGGTTGAAGAGAATGTTGTTGGTATTTTTGCTGGAAATTTTTGGATTGAATTTCAGTAGTTTTTAGCTTCTATTTATACTCAATTCGGAAATCTCCCAATTTGTCGTAGCAAGTAAGACGTTATTTTTTAACTTCGTAATATCTCGTGAACGTTATTCGTGCTTTCGCATTTCAGAAGTTTTGTTCGTGTATTCGTGTTTAGGAGAAGAATCAATTTTATTCGTTTTTTAACGAGAATAGTCGCTTTAATTTCCAATATTTAAAATGTTATACGAAATATTCTAACTGCTTTTCCATTCATTTTGCGATGGGATCAAAAAAACATAATTATTTTATAGTGGCGTCGGCGTCACGCTTTGTGTGCACAAAATAATTTTATATTTCAGTTTCAATTTGAAATCTGAACATATTCATCGTCCTATTTGGAGAGAAACAAATTAAAGATATTTTTCTAGTTTAACATGCTAATCAAGCGAGGTAATTTTTAATTATGCGAAGCTATTTTCTTTCAACCGGTGACTTTTGTTCAATTCGTTTACTATCGGTAGCAGATGTTGCAGTCAACTGGTGATCTTTGTTCAATTAATTTATTATCGGTAGCACATGTTGCAGTTTATGGTAGACCTAATTTTGAGTCAGGTTTAAATGGATATAAATATAACTGTTACATTATAAATACAAAAAAAATAACACAACCAATCGATCAAATTATTAATTCAAATACATCAAATTGTTTTGTTTTTTCAAAAATTTAGAATTTCAGTTCAATATTAATATTCTTTGAACGCCTTTTTCTTGAAGTTGTTTTTCGTGCTGAAGTAGATGAGCGGGTGTCAGTATACGTCATTGGGGAGGGCTGGTTCAGATAAAAGGGGGTATTTTTTATTTTTCGTTGTTAATTAAAAATCAGAAATCTTGAAAAGACGAAGTCGTAGCTATACTACATAGCTATAATAACATGGTAGGATAAATTTATATGATTTTCCCTGCAACCGAGCTATATTTTGATGGTATTTTGTTTTTAAATAGTTGATTTGTTTTTTGAGATCCCGCATTTGGTGGGTTGCATGTGTGTGGCTGCGCTGCACTTGCTCAGTGTTCTGATCCAACTAGGGGAGTTTGTATTTTTGCAGTTAGATATTTTGCGGAAATAATTTTTTTTTGATATTCAAAAAGGGAATGCGTTATTGAGTACGTTTTCTTTAGGGAGTGGTAAGCTTCTAATTTGAAGCGCTTGATTAAGGGATTCCAAGCATAATTGAGTTCCATATCGAGGCCGAGACTTTTATTAAAATTAATGTGGCTTTCTCTATCTAACTGAATATTGAATTTGATATTTAATTCAGTAGAGTGTAAAGGCTGTCGCTGAACCCTCAATTGGTGCTGGGAAAATGATACTGGCGTATTTGCCGTTAGTATCTTATATGGTCTCACTATTTGAGTTCGTTTCTCAATTAGAGAATTTGAAGGGACCAGGGGTATTTTGAAATGAGGGGGTAAAAATTTTAGGGGTGGTGGTGGCTTCAATGTTGTAGTTATTGGGACAGCTGAAGTTGTGTTAGGCAGTGGTACAGTATCGTGGTGAAGCCTGTGTTGTAGAAGGGGCCGCAGTAGTGGAAGTAGTTGGTTGTCGAATTGTTGTTGAAGGTTGCAAATCCAGTGGATCGATAGGTCATTGTCAAGCGTTGAGTTGATAGTTGGTGTCAATGAATGTGTCGGTATGTCCTAGAACATGTAAAATTTTGATTAGACTGCGTTTGTAGGGTGTTACAAATTTTGATTTCTTTTTTCAAAACTTGTCAATTGGATATGAAGATACATGCGATCCTGGTTGCTATTATCAACTTCCTCTAAAAGAGGTGCTTAGACTTTATCTCTATGATCATTTTCTTCTAGTTTCTCAGTTTGTTCATCCTGAGTGAAAATTGAGGTCACTATAGAAGTGAAAAGTATATTGTATGAAGCGGTAAGCAATACTTTGCCAGAATGTAGTGAGCGGCCGGTAATTTTGTGAATATGCAAAGCTTCTATAATGAATACTAGACAATCTAGTATGAATTTCACAAAGAGAAATGAAGCAAAGAATATTCCAAATTTTTTTAAATAGAATTGTGTTTTCCCGATTATACGGGTGTATTCGTTTTTCCAAAAGTCTTGAGAAAAGAGATAGTCTAAATAGTTAGTTTGAGAAGAACCTAGCGGGCTATATGAGTCCGTGAAAAGACATTTTTGGGCATTTAGAAAGGATCAGAAACCATGTTCCAATTTTTTTGCATCAAGTGTAAATGGAAGCACCTTGACTGGATGCCAAAGAATGCCTATCTTGCTGTACTATCTCTTTCGGTTTAAAGAGTTATGGTCCTGTTTCCCTTGTGATTTGGGATGTCAATTCAATCCAGGACCTGTCATCAGCAACATTTAGGTGGAAAAACAGTTTTGAAGTCTGCCGATTGAAACGTTTGTCGCGTAATTGGATCGACAACTCAAATTTTTTTCTTATACATTATGGGAATACGATTTGCCGTCAACTTTAGTTATTGTTTTATTATGATTGAATTTGAAAGGAATATTTCCAACACTAGCATAGCCTAGGTTAAGATAGCCTCTGTCGGCCGCCGATTTACATTGATCGGCAGATAAATGGAGATAAGTAGTGATCACGTTTTGTTGATCGTCGATACCACTCGAATCAAATAAATCTCAGAACCAACGCATTGATTGGTGTTTAACTCGACACATGGTCGCATTTACTTTAGTGCGGCAATGTTTCTGATAAGAGTAACATAAGCATGGGTTACTTTAATATTTTCTGGTTGAACTTTGCAAGGTGCAACTTTGTTTAGAGAGAATATTTTGTTAGAAGTCATTAATTGACAATCAAAATGAGCGACTCGAAGGTTATTTGCAGTGTTTGCATACAATTGTTCTTTCGGATCAAGAGCTGAGGTCTGATTTGCAAAGTTTATCAGAATTAAAAGTCCAGCCAAATAAGTTTGCTGCAAATATTGTTTTTGGTGTTTAATAATAAAGAAAGAGTTTTTAAAGTACTCAATTCAAGCAAATCTTCGAGGGTTCTTAGAATGGGATCTTGATCCATCAGTTCACCTTCCTCTAGTTCAACGCTAGAATTTGTCGTTTTGTGGATATTTTTCCGATGAGGAATATGAGTTGGATTTTTTGTTTTAGTTGAAGAATT